CAAAACACGAAGCCCTGGGTCACTGTCGGGGGCCGGGGAGCATTTAAGGCTCTATAAGCCGTTCTGCAGGTCGAGAGTTAAGAGTTTAGGGTTTAGGGTTTAGGGGTTTAGGGTTTAGGGTTTAGGGAGGTTCGGTGCTAGAGTAGTTAAGAATTTAGGGTTTAGGGTTTAGGGGTTTAGGGTTTAGGGTTTAGGGGTTTAGGGGTTTAGGGTTTAGGGAGGTTCGGTGCTAGAGTAGCTACGAATTTAGGCCCCAAGCCCAAAACCTTGGATGAAGCTTCATGGCTTCAGGTTTAGGGTTTAGGGTTTAGGGTTTAGGGTTTAGGGTTTAGGGTCAGGGTCTTCATGGCTTCAGGTTTGGGATAGAGCTCGGACTTCTCGTCATCGGTCAACGACCCCATGACCAGTTGAGGAGTTTTGGGTTTGGGGCTGAGGGTTTCCAGAGTTTGCACAATCTCCGGTCCACTGTGGGAGGCCGGGGGGCCATTACTTGGAAGATCGTGGGGCTTAGTAGGTAAAGCCTCTAAGTATCTTAATTGGGTTTGTATTTAATGCATTCTAAGTAATTATCCTTACCCTGCTTAGAAGCCTATAGTCCCTAAGCCCTAAACCCTATTCCACTCGGGTTGTTTTAAAGATACCAAAAAGGCTTTAATAGAAGGGGCCTTAGTCTTCAGGAGAGGGTTCCTTCAAGGGATCTATCAAGGTTTATAGAGGCACTAATCTTCAGAAAAGGGCTTTCGGGGTTTTCGACCTGAGGGATTATAAAGGGCATGATAAAGGACCATTCCGACCACTACGTGATCAGGTCCCAAGCCTCCGAACCCCAACTCTACCCCAGCTCACGAATACGGAATGAAGAAATCGCACAGAGTCCGTGCTGCGGGTGGCGTAGATGTCCGAGTGCCAGCCCAGCACGCCCTCGGAGAGGCCGACCCGGTGGTCGGCCTGCTTCTGCAGGGCCAGGGACTTGCGCGTCGTGCGGACGAGTCTTGTCGCTGCGCTTTGCGACCGCCGGCACTGGGATGTGAAAAAGTCGAACAACGCTGCGCTTGGCTCTTTGAATAAAGTATTGAATAATTGAATACATCAACAGCCAAGTATGGCTCAACCGGAAACCTCACCTCCGCGAGCTCCTCGATCGTCTTGATGTCGGTCGAGGCGATGCTGAAGATACTGTTGATGGACAAAATTCTGCATGACCCAAATATAGTATAGTACCACAACTCCCATAGTTTAGGTATACAAGGTCATGCAGGATTTTGTCCATCAACTGTAGGTGCGTGGCCCGCGAAGCCGCTAATCAAGTGGGAGGTCGCGAAGGAGCTACCCCGGTATCTCCTCGATCGGCCAAGTGACGAGGGATCTCTTTATTAAGCGCCTCTTTTCCTGCTCGCCAAATCCGGGAGTCGGAAATCCAGGTGACGAGGGTTTACGGTTTGGGGTTTGTTTAGGGTTTAGGGTTTAAGGTTTAGGGTTTAGGTGTGTTATCCATCTTGGCTCACTACATATCCTAAACCTAAAACCCTAAACCCCGGAAGCCATCAACCACAAATCTGAGCTTTGTGAATCCGTGCTTATAGTTCATGATCTTAAAGGGTCCTACGTACCTATATGGGTGGTTGTCAAAATTATGGTCCCTTTTTGGGTCCTTATTATAATACGGCACCTATTATTTGGGGTACCCCAAAAGGGACCATAATTTTGACAACTACCCATATACAGAGGATATACTTACCCAAGCCTTGATAATAGTAATTTCTACCCTGGCAACTGGAAACCCTACTTTCTATGTGCATGCTTACAGTACGACAGCTTGCGGCTGTAAACAGGCAGTAAGCGTAAGCGGAGCCAGAAGTGCAGTATGACCCTAAAACCTAAACCCCCGAAACCCCAAACCCTAAACTTCCTAAACCCTACACCCTAAACCCTAAACCCCCTAAACCCTAAACACCCTAAGCCCCAAACCCTAAACCCTACTGGAGCTTTAGGGTTTCTGGTTACGGCTTAGGCTCACGGCTTCGGATTCCGACTTTGGGGTAGAAAAGCAGCCTAAATAGTTACCAGTACTATTTTTTGGGGGGTGCCTTCTTATGATTATAGTATAAGATACCCCAAAACCCGATCTAATCATTGAGGCCCCTATATTAGAAAAGAGAATCAAGCACCACACAGACTGAAGTTTAGGGTTTAGGGTTTAGGGTTTAGGGTTTCCTACACCCTACAAGCCCGAAAATGTCAGCTCCCCCCAAGGTCAGTGTTTAGGGGTTACTTGTAGTCTCCATTGTAGTTCCCTTTTTGGGGTTTAAGCAATTTCATATTAAGGATTCTGTAAGGTATCCCCTAAAAAGAACTACAACGGAGACTGTAGGTAGTGCTAAACCCTTATCTTATGAACCTTTGGGGAACCCATACAAAGAACCTCTGAATCGGCGAAACTCATGAGCAGCGTTTCGATGAAAGCAGCCCACAAAGTCGAATCTCTACAGCCCAATCTGATGCAGCATCCATGAGAGAATTGAGTAGGGTTCTGAACAACCCTAAACTCTAAACCCTGAACCCTCACTACGGGAGCTGAGAGAAACACGTCTAAAACATACTCAACTTCTTCAGAGCCCCGTGCTTGTAATGTAGGGGCCTTAATGATTAGAATAGGGTTTTGGGGCCCATTATACTATAGTTATAATAAGGAACCCCCGAAAAATAGTACAGGTAATTATTTAGGCCCCTCTAATGCCCGGCCTTGGCTGAATCACCAGCGGCTTGCAACTGACATCATCAGGGAGGCAGAGCTAGAGATGCTGAGGAATATAGCGGCCTTAATAATTAGAATAGGGTTTGGTGGCTTATTCTACTATAATGAGAATAAGGAACCCCTAAAAAACCCTATCTTAATTATTAACGCCCCTACATTATTCGGTTACATAAGGGCTTCGGGTCCACAGCAAACACCCGAAATCTCACCCCGAGTCTAGGGTATTTAGGGTTTAGGGTAGCAGATTGCGGGAAGGCAGGACTGGGCTGTTCTTGTAGAGCCGAGGGTTTAGGGTTTAGGGTTTAGGAGTTTAGGGTTTAGGGGCCTTGGGGGTTTTCGTGCTTGCAGCTTGGGGGTCCTTTGGGGGGTGTAACATGGGTGACTTTTAACTTGCTGGTTTGAGTTTGCAAAATATTGATTCTTGTTCCTTCCTAAACCCTAAACCCTAAACCCTAAAGCCTACACCCTAAACCCAAGGCAGTCGGTCCCTCGCTTCGGTCTGCTACAGGGACTGTCATAGTCAGAACCGGATTTTGGGGAGTCTATGTAATACTAGAACCATAAGACGGAACCACAAGGAATTAAGGAATCGTATGACTTCCGGGGTGTCTGTAAGCGCAGAACATAGAAGAACTAATAATAAAAAGCCATAAGTCATAAACAATAGCTTGAAATCCGAGTTTTTCGGACTCACATGATAACACAGGTCTAGCGGCCCAGTAGCCCTATGGATGAGTAGGCTCACAACCACTGAATACCACGGTTTGGGGTCTAGGGGATTCGTGATTTTAGGGCTTAGGGATGGCCTGAAGACTGCCATCATGACCGCCACTATGACTCTTTCGTTGCCATTACGAGTAGCAGAACAGCCGGTATTTCGGATCCTCGCCGGCTCTTGTTAATTAATTACCACAGGCTGATGCAGCCCTTTGTTGTCTTCCCTCAGCCGGAACCTGGTTCAAAAGATGACAGGTCACACAAACCCCTGTTGGCGGCCTCCTCAGGCTCTTCCTGACGAAAGCCACAACAGTCTCATGAAGCCCACCTAGCCCCTAAACCGCTGAGACCCTAAACCTTAAACCCAATCAAAAGTAGGGTTTAGGGTTTAAAGGCTTAGGGTTCAGGGTTTAGGGTTTAGGGTAACCAAGAGTAAAGACTTTAACTTGAAGGCTTGGGGCAAACATAATGCGGCACCCGTACAAACAGGAACCTCAAAGGGACCGCCATGGGTCCTAGACAGGACGGTCCACCGTTCAGTACCTCCCATGTCATTACCCGAGGGCATAGGGTTCAGGGATTAGGCTGTTCGTGGAGTGTGGATTTTGGGGAAATCCCAAACCACTAAACCCTAAACCCCTAAACCCTACACCATAAACCCCTAAACCC